TTTATGCTTTCATGGTTCCAGCTTGTATATAAATAGCACAGTAAAATGTGGAAAACCTTCAGTACAATGTCTTACTATTTAGAACATGGCATTCTTGAAATACACTGTGCTGAAATGCTGCCCAACTTTAATTGCACTGAAATTTCAAAGTTTGTTTTGTTTCAGTGTCCTTACTTTGTTTTTATATGCAAGTGACAAAGTGGAAGAGATATGGCTACTTTGGACAATATTCAATTTTTGCACTAGGTACTTCAGAAGTACCCCACTTACCCTTCCCTCATCTCCATCAACCCCATAAATAAATGTCCTGCTGGCTGTGTAACTGTTGCCAGAATAACTGTTTTAAATTGCTGAAGTAAATAACTCAATGCCTAACAGTTAATAGTAGGTTTAAGTAGTGGTACCAGCAATGTAAACAGCATAGGTTATACCACATAAATGTCTAAATTAACTTATTATAACGTGCTTAAATGAGTTTATTGCAATGTCTTTTACTATTAACTAATATTTAGACATACAGTTTGTGGTGATTTAGAATAGAACCAAGTAGGCTGGAAGGACCTCTAGAGTTCTGTAGTCCAGCCATGTTCTGTTCAAAACTGGTTGCTTAGGGCTTGTCAAGATCTGAATTCCTCAAAGGATGGAGACCCCACAGTCTCCTGGGCAGCCTGCGCTAACATTTGACTGTGTTTGTTATTTTTCACATTTTCAAATATTTTCCTTATCAAATTTAAATTTCCTGTGTACCTTGTATGTTCATTGTTTCTGATGGTTCTATTGTGCACTGCTGAGATGAGTCTGTCTCCATCTTCTCTGCACTCTCTCTTAGCTAGTTGAAAACAGTAATAATCAGAAGAGAAGGAAGGGCCTTCTGGAATACTGGAGGGAAAAGGAGAAATTCAGAAGCATAGATGAGATGGGGGAAGCAATTCCAAAAGTGACTTTTTGTTGAATGGACCAGTGCAAAACCAAGAAGTGTTGTTCAGGAAGGTATTTTAACACAAGAAGAGAAGAGACAATTGCAAATATGACAATGAGTAAAAATAATGGTCTGAAAAAGTTAATAAACTAGATGCTGACATGTGGTGATTTGTTGCTATTCTTCCTCACCCTGTGTAGGACTTTAATGTAGCCAAGTACTTTCTTATTTATGTTTTAAAGTAAATGTTCAAAGACACATTAAAAATAATAAGCAATGTGATAAGCAGTGACTGAAAAAGAGTATCTAATACTCTATTGTGCAGATGCAAATACAGCTACTCTATATAGTATCTTTAAACTATGAGAAAGTGAACAGCTGAGTCAGCTCTCAGATACAGTGTAAAGTACCCTAACTGCTCTGTCCTGTAGGTATCTGTAGAATAACATGGCTTGAGTAATTGCTGAATAATTGGAATTCAAAGCAGCAAAGGTCACCCCCTATGAATGACACTGTCTAAAAAGCTTACAAAACTGCTTGCTGTCCTACAACAGGAATGCTTTTGTCAGTGGGGGAGTAGTTGCTTCACCTCCTTGTGCATCACTGACTCCTTTCTCTACCAGTATCTTTGGTATAGGAAAAGACAGAGGGAGAAACTAAGGAGGTTTCATTTAGTTATTACTAAGATATTTGTGTAACTTGCCAAGCTGTTGCTTATGTCATCTCTTTTTATGACCTTGTCACATCTAAATGGGTTTTTGTCCCTCTAAAGAACTTTGCCTGATTCCTATGAACTTGTTTTTATTTCTGCAAAATTTATTCTCCCTGACCTGACTAGATACAGCCTTACCTTTCTTTTATCTATTCAGGCCCAGTTGCAAGATTATTTAGCTGGCTATGTCATTGTCTGAACTTTTTTATTTCTTTGCATGTCCTAATGTAAAAAAATTATGTATTTGTTTAAAGGGTTCTTCTCACTTTGCCATCTATTACTCATCTGTTACCCATCTGGCAGTCTCTCTTACACAGATTTCATGCTGGCTTTTTGTATAATCTACTTAGTAAATTTTCAGAAGGATATCTCTTGTGTTTTTTTTTAGTTTGGTTTGTTGTGGGTTTTTTTTTCCCCAGTGGTGTAGAACAGGATAGGAGAACCAAAATCATCTGTCCAGTAGCCTTATCTGACCTTTCTAGCACTGCTGTCTTTTGGTTGTGGGGTCTTTTTCTAGGTAAGCGTCGGGTTTATTTTGGGTTTTTGTACATTTATTTCAATTAATCTTGCAAAAAAAGAAATGATATTTTTTTCAGTTGCATTACATTTCCTACAGTTCTGAATAACAGCAGTAAAAAAGATAGAAAGATTAGTCATTGGCTTCATAAGGAAAGTACCAAAAGTACAAATAAATATAAATAATATTTTAGTGCACCAATACGGATACTCTCCCTTCAGATTTGACTGTAATTCTTTTTTTAACAACATGGTAATTATCCTTACAACCTAGAGGCTTGGCAGAGAAGTTCAAAATGCAATGTCTTATGTTTCATCAGCTGGTGAATACTTAACACTTGCCCTTTTCCCCCTTTTCATTTAAAAAAAATATTTGTAATTTGTCCTTCTTCCCAATCTTGCCAAGACTTAAAGAACCAAAAGAGCTTGGTGTGTTACATAAGCAATCTTTTGAGCTTGTTTTCTTATTGTACTTCAAAACTGTCTTGTTTTTGAAACTAGTCAAAAAGTTCCAACAACATTTCCCAAAGCTTGATAAAGACACTTTATTTTCCTCCTTGCCCCCCTTTTTCTCTTTGAATTTATGTTTAATCCATGTTTTTTATTATTAGTGGGTAGTGTAAGAAAAAAAGAAAAATATGGAAAAGGGTATTTTTGCCTTATGAGAAGAAAAATCTCCGTATTTCACAATGCAGCCAGAATAAAATACTGAGTTAGATCTGTGTTGTTGGAGCTGTATAGGTTATTGTAGACACACAGAAAGCTGTATTAATTTTCTCAAAATTATTTAAATTTCTTTCAAACTTGAATAGTTTTTCCTTGCCCTTTTTTATGTAATGATTTGCAGTGTAAAATAGAAAGAGAATAATGCAGTTAAAGTTTTTCACCCTCAAACTGGCTGCAAACTGCAGGGGGTATGTATATATATACAATACTTCAGGGTATGTATATTTTCTATTATTTTGCCCTGTTGTACAAGCTATTCCTAGATGCTGTTGGTAAAAATCTTCCTTACTTCATGAATGCTTATTGTGCATACATTCAGCCTTGGTAGAAACTGTCTCCTTTGTATTTCTCAGTATTGAGAATCAGCCCCTTGGTTATGTCTTCTGAAAGACAACCAACTTGTCTCTTGCCTGGTACAAGCTGAAACTGGCATTTGAAGGGATCTCATGTTAGATGAAGACACTTGTATTTTGTTGTATGTTCTTGTGTTTAGTTTTAATAAAACATTAATTTGCGGTATTTCTTACAGTTATATCTATGTAGGTATGAATTGGTTCAAATAGGAGAATCCTTTAGCATATGTGTAAAGCTGCTCACCGGATGGGTTATCAAAAGAGGAGAGTAATCTGTGCCTTTCATTTTGGCTTATCTTAAGTGATTCTTAAATATCTTTACTGTAAACGTATCAAAAAATAGATTTCCTCAAATAGCTTTGGTCAGGAAGTATAATGAAGCTGTTAAAGTCATCTTTCCCCTCTAAGAAAGATAGTGGGCAAATTACTGTGGTCTTCCACAGTATCACTTTTGGGAACAGTGTTGGGAACTGCAGAGTTGAGTTTTGTTGAGAGCTAGCTAAAGAAATGCTTTAGGATTTGGTTCTTTTTCCTTCAAAGAGGGTATAGGAATATTACTTGCTGTATGTTTTTTTCAGGCATTTAAATTTGCAATTGTTTATCAGTATACTTATTTTAAAATGAGAGTCTCGGTTGACTGGTTAAGATTTTCCTATGGAATATGGGTTTTCTAGCAAAAATATAGTAAGTTGTGAAATGCATAATTTTAGGAATATATTCAGAGTTCTCACATCTCTTAAGATTTTATCAAAAATCTATTTATTTTACCATAGAAGTAATGTTTCAAAATAGGATTGATGTATGCCACAGTGTACACTTAGCTTTTGCTTCTAATTATAAATGGTGGGTGTGCATAGTAACAATAGGTTTTTAATTCAGTTAGGTTCTTCTAGTTCCTATTGTTTTGAATAATGTATAGTTATTAATTTTGCAATTATCATTGTGGTCATAGCTGAGTTTAAAAGGAGTATCGGATTAAAAAGTGAGCTTGCAATTGTAGGCCAAGGTTGTGAAAGCTGAGTTAGGTGCTACAGTCTTTCTTGTCTCCTTACGTGGCTTTATGTTAGGTGGAATATCCAAAATCACTTTCTGTATTGTGACACACAGCTGTGTTCTAGGAAAGATGATCAGAAAGCCTCTGGTTTAGACTGTGTTAAAAAGTTCTAAAGAAGCAACAAAGAATTACTTGAGGATTAATTATTAATGTCTAATGATTGGGCACTTGATCTTTTTCTGCTTCAAAAATTTTACTAGATCATAGTTTGAAAAGATTTTTCATGTAAGTGAACACCTTAAAAGGTACACCTGTTAAAATCTGTAGTCTCGCATCTCTGCTCAAAAGGCTGGTGAAGATCACAGGTTTTTTTGAGTTGCTCAAACCCAGCGGCTCCAATATGAGCACAGATATCAGGTATTCTGAAGTACTCACGGAGTCAAATAAGTTTATTCATAGGTTCTCTAACCCATGCTTTATAGTTAAAGTTAATATTCAGTACTCTTCTATTTTTTGACAAAACACTTTCAAAATGCCTGAATGCTTTAATGCTTTAGTAAATAGTGCTGGGGAGTGTTTTCACTTCCCTTTCATAAAGTTATTTAAACAGATAAACCATGGGACTTTGGTGTGTCTTTCTTAGTACAATGATTTATTCAGCCTTATTTATTAAAACTTGAGTCTCATTTATTCTTGTTTATTCTTAAATTTTGGAAAGTATTTCTAAAAAGATAAGTATATGATTGTACTTATTTAATATTATCTTTTTTTCTTTTCCAGTTTCTCAAACAGTTAGGTATACATCCTGACTGGCAATTTGTAGATGTTTATGGTATGGAACCAGAACTGCTTAGCATGGTGCCAAGACCTGTCTGTGCAGTGCTGCTTCTCTTTCCAATAACAGAAAAGGTAAATGCTTGTTTAATAAGCAGCAAATCAATTTTGTTGTACATGAAATAGGCATGAACAGTTTGAATCTTGTACATTGATGTTGTAATAGGATCAAGGTGAGGGTCTAACCTTACTCATTAAAAACAAGAGCAGCCAGATGCTTCCTTCAGAACCTTCTTTTGATAACCTTACATGCGTATTTCCAATTTCTTTTCAAGTTGGAGTGGGAAAAGCAAATGTAGAAGTACAGAGGTATATGCCTCACGTTTTTCTGTTGCAGATAATTTAAGGCTTTTTTTAATATGCACTGTGAAATTACTTGGTTCTGCTACTTTTAACAGAGAGCTACAATAGCATAAGCAAAATAAGATGTAGGATGTAGGACTCTGTCAAATGGAAGTACTTTTTGAGTTTTACTGTTGCACTGACAAAAATTCAATCCACTTTCAGTATAGTCATCAGTATCAGTGTGACTTGCTGCTTGGACAGATGTGGCAAATTTCTAAGATGAAAGAGAATTGCCCCTCCTCCTTCTTCCTCTAAGTTAGACTTCAAAAGACTTGATTTGGTTAAATCTTCAAGCCTGGTTATTTTGTGTCATCTTACGGTTCTAAGTAGAGAAGACCATCTTGCATTTCTCCTTCAAGTGTTACCTATGTTGAAATGTATAATTCATATTGAACTGCCAGTTTATAAAAATCTGATGTGATTGTGATAAGGTCAGCCAAAAAGTCTGAGGTGAATCTGCCCAAACTTCTTCCTTTTATTGTGTGTCTTAAAAAGAACATGTGGTTTATAAGGACAAAGGAGTTAGCTATTAAAGTTTAACTTCTATAACAGAACATATTTAAATAAAGAAAAGTATGCCTAGGTCAGTCCTCTTATTCATTGGATCCTGTAACCCGTTGCACTCCCAGTTTTTCCAAAACAGCTATGTAAGCGGTACTTTTGAGGCTTGATTTCAGTCATCTTGGTGGTTTTGAATTTATTAAACTCCTAACTGACTTCAGGAAATTTTCTTTCTGACAACTTTGAGGCATTGTTTTCTACGTGCTGTGGCTTGTCTGGCTACTAGAGCTACAGGTCTGAGCTCCCTCTGTGACTGTCACCTTTCTTTTGCCTCCCTGCCTGTGCAAACTTCTGTTCTTGGATCATGCTATGGGTGCATCATCCCATGGCAATGAAGAACCTCTTGTTCCAGAAGGTGCATGCAATTTCATCCTGAAGAAGCATATGACAAACAGAACCAGAGAATCAGCATGTGCTCTGTTGCATTGATCAATCAAATATGACCGCTAGCCAACTACTTGAGATTTTCTCCAGCATGTTAATCCTTCAGAAACATAAGGGACATAACTGTTTCTATCAACTGCTTAATCTTTCATGTGAAGTCTCAGTGTTCTGTAACTATTTTGTTGACTTGTAGATAAGTGATGTCAAATTAAAATGCTTTGTAAATACTCTTACTTGGACCATCCAGAACATTCAGATAAGTTTCAAGTGTGGAATTGTGGTGCTGGAAAAATGTCTTTTTTCTATTTGTCACTGATGGTACATAGAGTCTGAGAGAGATTTCTCAAGGGTTTTCATGAAGAGTTAATTGAGAACATTTGTATTCAAAGCTTACTTTTGTCATACTTGTATATAAAGATTGTCTACTTCAATTTTTATTTTTGTCTTCAAAAGAACCTGGTAAAAAAGGCAAAGGAGGGAGAAAGAACAGTGTTGTCTGGAACATTTGCAGTTTTCTTTCTTTCTTTTTTCCTGTTTGAGAAGAAAATTGTAAAATAAACAAACAAGAACTAACCAACCAACCAAAAAACGCTAAAAACACCCCCGTTGCAAAGAACCACCAAGCCACAACCAACAAAAAAACCCTAAAAAATCAACACACAATATAACAGATTGTAGTCAATTAGGAGCTTTACAAAACAAGTCCTTCAGGTTGTTCAGTCAAGCTAAATTAATCTTATTCTATATTCTTGGAAAAAATTAAATATAAAAATGGAACATGTAAGGCTGCTTCATGCTGATTAAACACATTAAGTGTTTCAAAATGATGTTTCAAGTGTGACTTTTTTTGGCTAGTGATAGGGTATTGATTTAAGAAACAATATAGAGCTATTGGGTACATTAACATATACTTGTTGGACCACGTGTTAGGCATTAGAAATTGCAGCTTGAAGTGTTTTTTTAGTTAGCTGCTGTTTTTTTAAAATTATTTTTGCTTGGATTATGTAGCCAATATCTATTTGTATTATTTGTGAGATGTCTGTGACTTTCCTTCTAGTATGAAACCTTCAGAACAGAAGAAGAAGAAAGAATAAAAGCTAAGGGGCAAGATGTCAAACCATCAGTGTATTTCATGAAGCAGACCATTAACAATGCCTGTGGAACAATTGGACTAATTCATGCTATTGCAAACAACAGAGATAAAATGAACTTTGGTAAGTTGTTTTTGTTTGGTAGGTGAGTTGTTTTTTTTTTTGGCTTTTGCCTTTTTTTCCTGGACTGTGGAAAGGCATGGAGGGAAGGATACATTTCATACTATTTTCTCTGAATATAACATTCATAGAAGACGATCTCTATTCAAAGAGCATTTCTATCCATAATTATAAAAACAATATTTCATACTAATCCATAAACTGAAGCACTCAAAACATTGCAAACTGCAGCAGGTGGCAGCCTTCAATGTCTTAAAGATACGATGTAGTTATATCTTTAAATATGTTTTTATAAGCATTCTATAAGCTTTAAATGGATCTGGAGCTAAAGCAAGACTAATTATGTCTTTTTTATTTTTTAAAGAAACTAATTCTTCACTGAAAAAGTTCCTAGAAGATTCATTATCTATGACTCCTGAAGAGAGGGCCAAATATCTAGAAACTTATGAAGTTAGTATCATGTGTTTTTACTATTATTTAAAATGGTATAAGAATTACTTACATGAGCAGGTACTGTCCTTAAGACTTGACCCAGTGAAGCACTTAAAACAGTTTTATTTTAAAAGTCACCTTGTGATCAGACAGTTGCTACAAAGAAAACCCTGCTTTGGTAGGTTAAATTATTCCTGCCTACCCTCAACTCAGTCAACAGAATGGATTTTGTCAAGGTTCCTCACCCATATTAATTCACTGGCTTAGTTTACAATGACTTTGAAATGGATGAGAAATGTGTGCATAATCTTTTTGGTAGGTTTAGGATGCAGTTTAATGGACAATTTAAGCTGATCTGGGAGTATAGTTAAAAGGACAGTCCTGCTGCTTCCTTTCATTTATGCCTTCTAGCCATCTCCTTTTGGCTCCAGCATTTTAAAGCACACAGAGAGCTGATTTTGCTGAAATACAGTCTCCTTCCCCCAGCACCTTGAGCAACTAGATGAGCTAGTTTGTACTGTGGTACTGTGGCCATATTGTCAGTGCAGTTTGAAAGGATGCTGCAGAAATGTGGGCAGTGGCAAAGTGGCAAAAGGGATAAACAGCACAATTGCTCCTGATGGTAGTGATGATCCTTTCTCAAAATCTTGACAATTTCCAAGTCTGAGTTTGATTTGTGTTATTGTGAAGGCCTCAGGAGTAAGTGTGTTAACATATGGCTGAGGGGAGGTAGTACCAATCAGAAACAGTACCAGTTTAATGACATTTTCTGTAAAAATGTTGGACATGAAATGTCTGACCAGAGCTTCTATCCAAAGCACTTGATCTGGTCAAGAAGTGATTATAACAAAAACACTTGCCTGTAGTGTTTTCTTTGTGTAGAACTGCCATTGCAACCAGTTAGGTATTTGATTTGAATTTACTGTGATGAATCTGAAATATTGGTCTTCCAAGATCCTTGGAAATTGAAATTATTTGTTTATGTATTTTTAAAATTTATTTATTACAAGCACTCAACAAAAATAGTTACATCTCTGGCATTTGATAAAATGAAGAGCATACAACGATTCTGAAAACACTGAAAGTCTCTCATTTCAAATCTGATTGAAATATGTTTTAATTTTAGGCTATTCGTGTCACTCATGAATCCAGTGCCCATGAAGGTCAGACTGAGGTATTCATTTTTTTTAAAACCACTTTGTTAGTAGTTACTTTGAGTTTAATACAATTGAAATGTAAGCAATCATATATTGAAGGTTTACAGTGAATGGAGATCATTGCTTAGTTTGCAGTATTGTGTCAGTCAAAAATCGGGGCACAAAATCAAGTGGAATTGTTGGAAGGGACACCAGACCTGAAGCTTGCTTGTGTATTTTTGGTTTTGCTTTTCTTTTCTCCTTTTTAAGCTTTTATATAACTTGAGTGACCTTTTTCAAGCTTAATTTCGGAGCAAACCAGCCAATATAGTAGTATTTTTAATGAAAGTTGAAGTTTAATGTTGCAGATTTGTAGGAAAGATTGCAAGATTCATAGTAATCATGCAAGTGGAATAAATATTTTATAAGAGTCTGTAAAGTCTTACTTTGGGAAAAAAAATAGTACAATACTCGGTTTGCCATTGTTTTTGTGGATTTTGTATACAAATAATAACTCAGTTCAGTTCTCACTAATACATTTATTTATAAGCTTTCATCCCCAACAGATTGAGTGATACATAAAAAAATGCCAAACCCAACCCCAAAACCAACAAAAATCCTTTAAATAAAAAAATTAACATTCAACATTTTTCTGTTTCAGTCATACTAAGGCAGTTTGTCATATTTCCAGTTTAGATTTCAGTGTCTGTTCCACAAAAAAGAAAATCGATTAGATTGTTGCTAGCAGTGTTTTGTGTGACAAAGACAGGAGTCCTCCTTTGTTTGGCTGTGTCTCCAATGGCTCATCTGCTTTCTTCATTTCTCTTTAAAGTACAGTAGGTGAGGTTTTCTTTCTTCTTGTGGCTTGTGCAGTGTCTTCTACGTAATGTAGGAGAAAGAAAAGCAGTTCTTTCTGCCTCTCCTTGCCCCAGGTATGAGGTATCTGACAAGATATTGCTTGTATAACTTTACTATTAGTGGACTGTTGGATTCTACATTCCAGTTAATGATTGCTGGAAGAGAAGGATTACAGTGGTCAGTTTCTTTCTGTGATTGATCATGTATGTGTGATCTATGTAGCTTTAAGGTGAGTTGCTAAGCAAATGAGTTGAAGCTGAGAGCTAGAGTTTTGCCTCCATGAGTGCTTTAACAGGCTTCGTACGTTTGATAGCTGTGAATAATTTGCCTAGTTTTGAAAAGGGGAAAACAAAATGGGACTGTGTTCCTAGCCATTTTGATGATCAACATTTTATATTCTATATAAAACTTTCACAGGTCATCTATAGACTGGATTAAAACTGGTTTTTTTGGGGAGGTTTTTTGTATTAGAATACGTGAGGTTTTTAATGAAGTTTACTGTTTTGTTGTTTTGTTGTTGTTGTTGTTTTTATTAAACAACTTAGTATTTTCCTTAAAACCAGATATTTTTTTTTTTTCTTTCAGAGACTAAATTTAAAGAACAGTTAAGCAGCTTTCATTTTGTTAATTAATTTTAGGTTTGCAAATTTGAAATATTCTAAATTTAGATTTATCCTTTAGGCCAGGTTTTGAACCAGGTTTGATCCAAGTTCTGTGTTAAGACTCTTGCTTTCTGTGGCTCCTGGTCTCACTTTTTTGCTACAGTGAAGCAAATAAATAGATAAAGCAATCGTGTAGGTACTTCAATGTGTAAAAAATGTAATTCTGTTGAAAATTACTTTAGTAGTAAGCAGTAATATCTGGGAAAAGTTCCACAGGAGAAGCGTATTGGATTCAGGGGTTTCAAAGGAAGTTTGATTCTGGTCCCATATTCTAGCATCATAATGCTGGTAATTAATGTAAGACTCTTGAAAAGCCTTTCCATTAAACTTCATACTGCTGAAGCTTACACTTTCTCAAGTGACAGGTATTTCATATCCAAAGATGCCAAAGAAAAGGATTAGGAATCTAGGTTTTTATGATAAGGCTTCATAGATCCAGCTCCGTCTCCTTTCTATGTGATAGTTCCTGAAAGGCAGCTGTTGCTGAGACTAGAATAGTTGACAGCTATGCAGTATATCCTCTTTGTTCTTTCATGAGTCTTCTGAGCATATACTTTTGTTTATAATATCTAGGATGTCTGAAGATGTGGAAAATATAACCTACTTTGCAGAACTGCACACACTTCTAAGCTGGTCCTTTATATTGCTTCTTCATGTTTGAGTTTTTCTGGTTTTCATTTGTTTTTTTTTTCTTTTCCTTTTTGTTCTCCTTGGGCCTGCTTCAGCAGTTCCTGAATGCTGAAACGCTGTACTACCTCGCATCTTAACACTTTTAATACCCTCTTATAAAAAACAAAACAAAAAACCTGCATAACCCCACAACTCTTCAAAAATATTAGGAAGACAATACCGTTTGTGTATACTAGAGCGTCCACATTAACTGTCTAATCTGCAGTTATAATTAATGAAATTATGGCAAGATCTGAGGGAGGAAAATTAATAATTAATGGTATTTATCAGGGTTAGGTTCATAATCTGTCTTTCTTGTTGTACTGTCTTGGGTTGTTTTATTTCAAAACAATCATAGTTACTATTTTCAAGTAATAGATCAGAGAATCTGAGGGGAGAATATTTTGAAAACAGGAAAACGTGTAATTACATGAGAGAGACTTCCAGGTCTAGAGTAATTTGCAGACCAAATATCCCTTTTGAATGTGGACTTGAGGAAGAAACTGATTTTGTATCCTACATATTAATTTTCATTAATAATAAAAAGCTACTGTATAGTTTTCTGAGAGAGTAGAAAAGGAGAAAGATGCAAAAACACTTATAAGCTACTAGAAATTGTTTAACTCAATTAATTACATGCTATGTTTGCTTGAGGGAAGTTATTCCAGGTAGAAAGTATTATCTGTACTGATTCTTGAAATTACCTTTTTGTGAATACTATAATGTGAGTAGCAAAATGTTTTTGTTCTGCTCTCATATTACTGGTATCCATATCCAGTACTTCGCAGCTATGCTTCATTACAGCTCAATTCTACAGTAAGGTAAATGGCAAGCTATACCATAGAAAGCACTTTTAAAAAGATTAATTTGCTTTTAGCCAAAGAACTAGATCTAGAGAATCATCTGTATTCAATGTCTGCATTTCTTTTATACTGAGAATTTCTTAACTGTAGAGTATATGAGTGGCATGACAGGAAAATTAATTCAGATATTCAAATTTTATTTTGGTATATGGTGCTGAAGGAAGCAGAATTGAATATTATTATTTATATATTGTTTTCCAGGCTTTGACATGCTTAGCTCTCATTTAAATAGTATTCAGATAAAAACTTAAGGTATCTGAGGTTTTAGCCAGTGTGTCTGCAGCTGTTGAAATAATTCTGGATTGTCAGATTACCTACAATATCTTCTGTCTTCCGTCAGCTTCCCAAACAGCTTCCTGGAACAGCTCACCCTGTAGCCTTGTAGGAGCTAATGCTGGCACAGAGGGGTTAGAAGCACACTCTTGGGACAAGTGGAGAAGGCTTAACTTACTAGACTTAGATCAGCTTTTGGTGCTGTGGACAGCAGATAGTTGTGGTGTTAAGTAATTGGCAGGCTGTTGGTGCAGCATCAAGGCATCACTAAGTGCTGACACATGACTTTCTATATCACTTCTTGTTGTGAAGTTCAAATGATAGAGTGAACTTTTTATTATGTCTTGCGGTATTTGTGGCATATGGAACCACTTCTGTGTTTCAGGTTGAAAGTTTTTGGACAGGGGAGTTTTAGCATGGTTTATGCATTACTGCTTAGCAGAACGTGATTTGTGGTCTTTGGGAGGTTTACTTCTTTAAATGTTATTACAGCATAGTCCAAAGTCATGTTTCAGTCAAGGAAATAAAGACAAGTGAAATGGCTACTTGAAATAACTGTGTTAGATACTAGCTAGGGAATAATAAGAGCTTTTGATTTTGTTCATGGCCTAAATTCTTAGAAGAAAATTAGGAGCTTTTGAATTCCATTTTTTTCTTTGCTCTTACTTAGATGCTTATTGGGAATGTCTAAATAAAGTTTAACCTTTCAGTTACTAGTTACTATGGAAAAGAGAATAAAACAGAACTGGAATATAAATATATATCAATTATTTTGGGGAGCACAGAAAATACAGCCTTTACTAAAGTAGCCAACAGGAGTTACAGAAGCACACTTCATGTATCTCTTTACCAACTGATGGCTTTGGCTACTAGAACTGTATGTTGGGCTAAATGAGGCTCAGAACTGAGAAGACTGAGGTACTGCATCTGAGCAGCTACTTCAGATGAAAACAGCATTCTTGCACCTCATTAGACAGCTCTAAAAATTATTGATGGTGGAAAAACTAGCCTTTGAAAATAAAAAGTGGGGTTTGACTCAGTCGGCATAAAAGTCACAAGTAAGAAGTGGTCTCAGATGTTCATAAAACCCCTGAAATTTTTGTGCACATCAGTATGTTTACTTAGATATACTTTTTGTTCACAAGTATGATCAGGAATATTTTTCACATGGATTGAAGTTGGCAGCCACTAAAAAAACTACCACAGCTTGATTTCTTCCTTAACTCAAACCATAGCTGCAAACTGTAGTCTGCAATGTTGTTTTGTGTGCCTTGAGAACTATAATCTTGCTTGGAATGTGCTAAATTAGACTTTGATCACTGTAACAGTCGTTAACATTGGCAAGAACTAAGTAGAGTCAATGCACTCTGTTCTCAACTGCTATAAAGCTTGAATTTCCAAAGATCTCTGGTTCCCTGGGGCATTACAATTTATTGTTAGAGAAGAAACACAAAGGAGCTTCCCTTTTGCTCCTGCCAAGAACATATGGTGGGTTTTTTTTTTTCTTAAATAGTCCATATCCCTCAGTGTTTCTTCTGAATAAGCTGTAGTCTTGTAAAGAAACATTTGCATCTCGGGAGAATATAAAATAAATCATATAACTGTCTCCAAGATTATTTTTGTTTAGTTTAGTGTTAAAGAACAAGCATGTAATCTGTCCTGTAAAGGCAATGAAGTTGCCTAAAAATGTTAGCCATAGCTTTTTCTCTTTTG